GCTCATATTTTGTAAGGACAGAAATACAGGTTATAATCTGAGGGAAAATGACACACAGGACCTTGTTCCAAATTTTAGTAGAAATGATGGTTTTAAATATAGTTTTTTTAACTGTATTGTAAATGAATGGAATGGTTAACCCAATCATATTAGAGAATCAAACAGTTTTGCAACTTTAAAAAAAATGTTTTAAGCTTTTAATCATTAAGACTAATTAGAACATTTATATTTCTATTTGTATGTATTTTTCTTATATTTTAATTAGTGGGGGCATCCCTCGTATGGCGCATTGATGCTTTTGGTTGTCTCCTTCTCCACAACTTTTTTTTTCTCTTATAGTAGTATTAGCTTATATCATTTCATTATTTGCTTGTAATGTAGTGGAGTGAATCAGTAATAAATAAATAAAATGGCGGACGAAGCCTGTCTAAGGTGAAGAAATCCATTCAACAATTTTATAGGTTTATAGTAGATTTTTACAAGATTAATTTTGATCAAAAGTAGGTTGAGTTTGATCGTCCGAGTGAACGTAGTCCCGACTAGGACCGTTGTTGTTGACAGTGACTGACGTGTCGACAACCTGTGCGGTAGTCATCTTCAGAGTCAAAGTGAGTTGTATCACGTCGGTTGATGGTATTATACTCTGGTTATTGTTCTGATTGGTCAATTACGTCGCGATGTTATTGGTCGTCTGTCATTTAAGCCGTGATGTTATTGGCTATGAAGACTGGTAATAAGTAATTGGTGCGTTTCGATCCGTCTATTGTCACAGTTAAACACTCGTCTATTGGTAGTCAAATTGTCACCAGAGTATAATACCATCAACTCACGTGATACAACTCACTTTGACTCTGAAGATGACTACCGCACAGGTTGTCGAAACGTCAGTCACTGTCAACAACAACAGTCCTATTAAGGACTACATTCACCCGGACGATAAAGCTCAACCTACTTTTAAAAACTTAACTTGTAAAAGCTACAAGTTAAAAATGTTAAAATGTCAGATAGATTAAAATACTAAAGGACTTGCAAACCCTCTGATATTAAACTTCTATGACTACAATCACTACTTGCAAAACTAAGAATAATGTTGAACTCTTCCCCAACTCTCTGTAAAGGCGGCCACCTCTTTGCCGAAGATCCTTTAATTCCTTTTGGGAAACTGCCTATCTACCCCTTCCCTGAGGCAACATTTTGCCCTAAGTAAGAAGTAAGTGTTAATGTTGGCTTAGGAGAGGGGTAGGTGGGCGGTTTCCCTTAAACGTATAATGATCCACTTTGTTTAAGGCAGACGCCTCCAGTCCTAAAACAGACACTTGGTATGCTTGTCTTAATGCTGTCCGTCTTAGATAGGATCCGACTGCACTTCACTCCTCTCTCTTAGACAGCAATCATTCCACCTGTACTTTCAGACTGTCCATTTAGCGTGGTTTGTTGTGTTTCATTGTGGTGTTATTGAGGAGGAGGGGGTGTAACGGCCACAGTCATAGTAATTGTATTGCCATCCTGGTCACTGATGTCTTCACCTCCTGCATAGACCAACAAACAAAATTTTAGAAACATACGTCATTAATTACTCTAATTACACTAATAATTCGCTTCATCCAGTCTATTGCAGAATTCGACGATGTTTTAAACGAACTTCACGATATTCAATAGAAAAGAAACCAAGATAATAAATAGGACATCCATGAAGAACTTATACAATGAACAGCCGATGTAAATTGAAAAAGGAGATCTACCCCAGTCTTGGGGAAACTGAGTAGTCATTTTTGCCATCTTATTGCTTCAGGAACTAATAAAAGTAACTATCTGAGAATCCAACATCCTTAAATTTTCGTAGATCTTCGCCCCTGAAATCTAAATATCGCTAATTTGGGTAATTTGACTATTCTACAAGACTGCATCGAATACCTTAAAATGCCCAAAAGGACGTTTGGATTTTGGGTTGTTAGCAACAAATAATAGCAACAAGGTCACTGACTTATTCCTGAACGCTACGCAGCATTCTGTATTCAAATTTAGGTAATTTTCTAACTAGGAAACATCAAATGTTCAAGTGGACAGTCTTTGGCCCGGATTCAACAAGCTTTAGTCATTCAATTTCCTTGCAAAATGCAATTGTTGTGGAGCGATAACGTAGAAGGATTTACACCTTCTTGAATCCGGCCCCTGAACACTAGGATTGATTGAACAGCACTTGCAATTGGGATTCATTACTAAACAAAAGCTCTGAACTGATAATCAGCTGTCAATCGATAATGAAACTACTGGAAGTAAGGAATACATGCATGCATGATTGCGCGAGACTTTTCACCAAAACATATGCATACCTCCCTCCAAACTTATCTCTTTCAAAACGTTTTTGGTTTCTTTTTATTAAAATCATTCGCGATATTATTTCAATAAACTACTTGCCTACGTTGTCTTTACCGGAAATTGTAACACCTGTAGACCCGGATTTGCAGATCACAGCATAAAAAATGCGTCTAAGCCAACCTTTTAAGATACTTCTCACCTAGAAAATAAGCAATTGAAGCTGTTGTAAATAAGTTGACAACAGTTGTCAGCGGTTTTCACACGGGGTTCGGGCAAAAAACTTATAAATCTGTTTACCCTCGCTTGCGTGCGTTTTTAAAAACCTGATATTTTATTCGAGTGCATGTTTAACTGTAATGACAACTATTTCAAATAATTTCCAAATGCATGCAGAACATTTTGTGAATTTTGTTCTATGCTGGACGCATTCTCTCGTCAGTCATGACTCAGTTTGTAAAGCAAATGAAAATTAGTGATACAAATACAAGTGCAAATAGAGTCTCTTGTGATCGGTATTTGATCAGAATATCCAACAACCAATTTTTAACACCGAATCAGGGGGGAGGTAACTTTATTGTTTTCCACCTAAGTTTCTTGACCCACTCCGCCTGCCAGTATGACGTCACATAGTAACGGGCAAGAACCTTGGGTCGCTTGTGCAAATTAGCAAGGGAAACTACAGTTATTTGGACGAGCGAGGTCAAGGAAAAGCTAAGAAGCTGGCAAATATCGCTATATGTCGTTTATTTCATCGAATGTGTGTGAGCTTTGGTGTTGCTATAATCTGCTTCTGTAAACCGTATTGATATTTTGTGTCCGTGATTGTATAATTTTGTTAATTTGTTTTGCGGGCCGTGTTGCTGGATCGCGATCTATTTCAAGGGACCGGCAAGGTCATCAAGGTCATTTCATTCCAAGAAAGTACTTAAGTCTAGTTTTCTATGACAATAGCCTAACCTTAAAATCTCCAAATCCAAGAAATCGGAAATCCGTCTCTTCGATGAACACTTTGCTCGCCATTTTGAAAGTTACTGACGCGAGACGTGACGTCATACTGGCAAGCGGTCTGTGCTACAGATTTCCTTGGAGACACCTCCCCCACCCCTGCATCGAATCGATTAGTTTATGTCCTAAATTCCGGTAAATATTGGACGAGGAGGGTGGTGCGTAAGAGAGCAATTGTAGACAGCATAACCATGTACTAGTCACCACCCACTGCAGTCAAACGTTCACGCATTATGATTATTCAATGGGATTTCTTTTAACGTTAAGTGAAAAAATGTATGGGCAAGGGTGGAGATAATCAGTTGAAGTAAGTATCTTTTTCTCAGAATATTGAGAATGTTTTCGTTAAAAAGGCTTCGCGGCCGAGTAAAATTATGGTGGCCAATGGCGCCAACGATCACTCCCGACATCGAAAATTTTTCCATTTAACTTCCATTCCCGGTAACGTTCTCCGGTTAAGACATCTGTGTTAAGTGTGTGCTACTCTAGCTCTAAATGGTCCAGAAAGTTCCATAGGGAAAGGGTGGGAAGACTCAGTTACAATCAGGGAATCGGCTCCTTTCTCTCTCTTTTTCTTAACTGTTGAAACGCTTGCTGATTTCTCCGCCTCCTAACCCCTTAACATTGAAGGAAGGAGAGGGACGCGATACATGTACATGTATTCGTGGAACAACTTGTGTTTTCCGAAAGTGTTTCAAAAAATTATGACCAGGATTGTAGATCGTTTTTTTATGGCATGTAGCTATAGCTCGTTTCAAGAGCTAAAGGATATAAATATCGAAAATTGTAGTCATTTTTACACCTTCACTCAGGTTTCCCCACTTGCGCTCTTACCTTCGGTGTAGAAAACGTGTAGAGCACTGGATTAACTGATGAATTAACCGGCAGGACAAACGCAGCAAACACCAAACGTGAGCCGTTCCGTCGGGATCATTGAACTTCCCAACGAGGGCAAGAATACTCAAAATTATCACAGGAATCCAGCAACTGAAGTCAGTTAAAATGATGGCGAACACTCTCCGAGCGAGGGCAGACTCTCTGTTGAGGCTGTTATTGGTTTTTGATTCTCCATGTGCGTTGATTCTCTGCTGTGACTTAAACACCTTAAAGATAATGGCTATGTAGGCTGTCATGATGAAAAGGAAAGCTGTGAGATTCAAAGCGATAAATATGGCAACTGAATGCTCCCAGCCGGCCAGCCTTTCTGAGGACAGTTGGAGAGGGAGACAAACTGCAGAACGCCCTTTAAAAAAAATACGAATTACGTATTTTAGTTGGTTCTTAATATCAGATAATGTGACAGGCTAATTATGATAAGGAGAGAGGAAGAACAAGAAGTAAATAACAATGATGATGATGATGATGACGATGATAATAATGATAATAATGATGATGAAGATGGCGATGACAGTTTCTCACCCAAAAAGTCACAGAGCGCAGTATTCTGTTGCCATGACAATCTTCTGCCAAGCATTTTACTAAGATTCTCTAAAAAATAATCGAAACTTTGCTCGACATCACTAACCTTCGGTAGACTGATCAAGACATTTTAATCCATTAGATTAGAAGAGCCAGACAGTAAGGGAAAATTAAATTAAGGGGGGCGAAGTTTCCCTTGAAAATCCAATATACCATAAAATCCATATTGTCTGTCCTCGTTGTAAAAATATGGGAGATCATTTGTTGGAACGACGGCAATGACGGGTTCCGATGACCCAGACGGCTGCGCAAATAACGTAACTTCCCTTTAGCGTCAGTCGGCGACAGCTGAATGTAAAGACGATACTGATCAATCGGTCAGCGGTTATAACAGTCAGCATTAGTACCGAGACTTCGCTTGACAGCACTGATAAAGCACCGGCAAGTTTACAAAGTGTTCCTGATCGCCAAGTGAGGTCGAAGTTAAAGTAAGCACCTGGAAATGAAGCACTGTTTCAGTATTGTGATAACACTCACTTGTCTGTGCACCCTATTGTATACTCTACCCGGAAAAATGTCTTGCAAGTCACATTATTATTTAAAAGAATTCGATCGAAGTCACGACGTGTATTATAGTAGCTAAGGCTGGGGTCAATTTAATGAAAAATTTACGAGTGTAAATGTTTAGAATCTGAAATCAATAGCTACACTTGCACGTTGCACTCTTGAAAAAAAAAAAACATCAAAAATGCCCAGGAATGTTTTCTCTTACAATTTTTATCCGTTTGAACTGAAACTTTGCCGGATGGTACAACTTTTTATTGCGCATGTTTTGTTGGTTTTACTTGTTTAATTTTAATGGTTTTTTGGCGGAAAATGACGTCACAGGATTGATGTCAAAATTCTAGTAAAAGTGTAATTAAATTGACACCTGGTCGAAGTTTAGCCTGAGTGTTCGAAGCTCCGTGATAGTCGGGCCCGCGAAATTGGAAAAGCGAACACGAAAATAAAAAGGGAATAAACTGCGACCGCCCCCTTTTTCCAGATCATGAGCTCATATTGGCGGGTGCCTTTCACTTGCCTGGAACAGGCTATTGGAAGGTACATGTCTTGTACCGAGCCTGTGTGCAAGCTTTAGTTTAATGAGGCCTCAAATTTAAAAGGCTCGATTCAGTGCCATCTCGTCAAATTAATTTTTTAAGGTCATTATTAAATGACTTTAAAACCCTTAAAAGGGTTACTTACTGTTTCATCATTTTGATTCGAAATCTCTTACTATAAAACTAGCCAAACTTATGATAAATGCTCTGTTAGTAAAAGAGACAAAAATATATAAGAAGTTGTATTGCTCCCACCGAAACACTGGTGATCGAAACCCATACCTGCCCATATTTGGTCTTGAATGGCAACAATCATAAGGTACACTCCCATGAGAAAGTCGGACACCGCGAGATTCGTCAGAAGACAGGTCTGAACCGGTGGTCGTCGCGCCTAATTAGACGCCAAGCTATTACAGCCAGGTTACCAAGCACAGCAAGAACACCGAGCAACCAAATTATCTTTCTAGGACCTGAGTCCTCAATCATGCGATTGCAACTTGAAAAGGACTCTTGCGCCGACAATGGGTATTCGCAGTCCACGTGCTTGAGAACTCTAGTAGCATAACAGCACAAGGAGAAGCTGTCTAACTTCCTAAAATCAGAATGAATACAAAACTGTAAAATGTTTGCAAACGTAATAATAGTCCAATGGCTTACTAAAATGGCAAAAAAATGATGTACGAGACCAAAATAACGTTTTTTATAGTTATAAAATACTCTGCAAGTTATTAATAATAATAATGATAATAATAATAATAAATATTATAATAATAATAATTTTATTCAACTTTAAAAATATGTACATCATTTACAGAATATTTGAGGTAAGAATTAAGCACTATATAATATTAAGCATTACATAAATCATAAAAAAGAAAAATTTCCTGTGTCAATAACGATTTTCCAATTAGATTCCTTGCGGCTCAGATGCAGTCAACAACTCTTGCAGGCAGTCCAGAGTTTTTAAATTAAGTCATTACAAAAAAGAATTGTCCGTCTCTGATATTAAAAAGAAAACAAGTTAAAAAAAGAATAAAATCTCGTATTCCTAAATTCCCATTTCTTTAAAAAGTTCGTAAAAAAAAAAGTAATAATAAAAATAATAGTAATAATAAATAGTTGCAAAAAATTGTCATTATTGCTAGATCTCATACAAACCTGACGCCTATCCGGATTTTTTTTTTCGGAAAAATTTTCGGGGGAATTTAATCTGTAACGGATTTTTATGCAAGGTAGCAGAAAATACTCACAAATACTTAAGATTCCGGAGGCCTGCGAATACCTCTAAAGGCAGCGCTTTAAGCAAGTTTCCCTGCAGATACCTACAAGAAATATATACCTATAAAAAAACACTTGAGTGGCAATACAATTTATCAGAAGGCGTTAAATCACTTTTGTCTTAACTTGTTTTCTAATTGAGTCATTGAGTTTTAGCGGTGAACCGAAACAGTGACGTATGATTTTAGGGAGAATATTCAGCTTCATTGTAATATCTAACGATTTCGTTTTCATTTTTTGTTCATTTGGTTATGAGGTTAGGTCTTAGCATTACATAAACATAAGCATTGTTCTGGAGACTCTGCGGAAAAATACTTTTAACTTTTTTTTGGCCAATGTACGCGCTCAAAAGTTTAACTATTTGTGTAATGTTACTAGCCTGCGTATCAAGGGATTGTAATAGTAATTTTCTCAACTGAGAAGGAACGTGGCGCGCGATCCTTGCGCGCCTCGTTCTTTTCGCATATTACTGAAGTGCCTTCTACTGACGCAGGCTATTTAACAATTATTCCACGAGTGGACGTTGGAAATGAGATGGTAGAGAGCCAACGAGGTGCATAGCGCCGAGTTGGCTATAGTCATGTCATATCCAACAAGTGCGAGTGGAATAATTGTTTCATTAAAAACGCCCACAAAATATCGAGAATTCTTCCTGACTTTATTTGTAAAAAGCAACGAGTACAGTTGTCATATTTGGAGAGCATGGTATGATGGCTTGTATACCACGGTTGCTAAGACAATCAGAGCTCTAGAATTGCATTATCCATTGATTCCGTTTTAATAAAAATTAGGATTACACGCTACTTTTGTATTGCTGAAATTTTGTCCCAACGGAAGCACTCTCATTGGTTACCTTGGGATCACATGACAATTTACAATAAAACTGTTTCCCGCCAAAAGTTGTACTTTTAGCGGGGAACATTGCGTCAAAGGGTAAACGCAATTTTTCCCGCGAATGTTGAGATTTACTTTTTTAGTGCTTGGTTCCTTAGAGACAGCTTTTTTATTACCGTATTAAAACTACAATACTACATTTCCATTCTGTATCAATGTCTCATAAAGCTAAATTGTACTTACAATCTTTCCAGGTTTTGAGCCCATGAAATATATCACCATGAAGTTGGTTGATCTTGTTATTGTTTAGAAACCTTACAAAAAATATATAGGGACAATGCCGGTGAAAGAATGAAAAAGCTGGCGTTCTGAGTGCTATCACCTTGTCGGTGCGTATTAAGGAATTGCATGTTCTGTTTGGATATTACAAACATTGACCAACACATTCAGCGCTTGAAGCTACGATACTGGTAGGCTAATTGAAATTCAAAAAAATGCGGCGGGAGGCGGGGTGGGGATTTGACAGCTGTACGGATACTGCTTAAAACAAGAGAAGATAAAGGGGACAGAGAAGGCATCCCCCATACACACCCTATTCCATAGGTAATTCGTCTCGAATTATTTTTAGAATCGGGATAAAGTTACCACGCGCGCTGCGTGGATGTTTCGTGGAGGTTTTGCATGACTAAACGCCGTGCAAAACATGTCGAGCGAAAGGCAATGAAAGCGTAGAAAGATCGAGAGCATTCCTGAATATTGAAACGAAATGAGTCGGCGCTCACCTGGGAAAGGGGAATCGCTGGACTCTTTGACAACCCGTGAAATCAGTTTAAATCGAAGTTATCGTAACCTCAGTGCTTTAATAAAATGAGAAATTTCGCCGGTCTATTGAAACCGGCCGTTTGCACAATAAAGCAAGTAGGACACCAAGTGTTATTTTCGTTGAATAATAAAAGACTAATAAAAGATTAAATATCAAACCAGAAATTTCTCTCTTCAAACTGTAATTATAAATGATCCTGAGAGAATATTCAGTGTGTTAAGGATTTCCCTGCTGTACTGTTACCTCTATACAAGAGAGGAAGGGCGATTCTTTTTAATTGCCGTTTCGGCTGACACAGCTTTAGCAGAAATTTCTCTTTACTCGTTTTTGTAGACAAAACGAATAACAATATCGCTCTCCGCGTCTTCCGCCATTTTTGTTCTGCGTCAATTCGTGAAGGACGCGTGCCTCTGAGTGTGGGTCATCCACGCGGAACAAATTCGCGCTATGTGATTGGCTGTTGTCTAATCCCCTTGAGATCTGTGGTGTTAAAAATAACTCGAGACAAATTACCTATGGAATAGGGTGTGTATGGGG